TGCTATTAACCACAATTGCTTTAAAGTTTAAAGGCCAAAGTCCTAACCCGGACTTTTCATTCACCGATTTAGTAAGGGTGTTGGTACTTTGTTTTAGGTGTTGATAGCCATGGCAATTTCAACAACTCTACGCGCAATTCATGTCATTTTGGTTTGGGTCCTACTTTTATTCAAATTAGCTTTTCTAACATTCTATAAAGACTCATAATATCAGAATTGGGGAGACCTGTTGGTGGGCTTAGGCAGCCTTTCTATTTAATGATTTTTACTTGTAATTTTACAATTTAATGCAGTTTACTTGCAAAATAGAGAATTTTTATTAATACATTTTCTTGCTTACTTCTAAAATTATTGTACTTAAATAACTTCTTTTTGTTCTTCCCTGCTGCACAAGGCCCTGAAGCCATGCCTATATGGCTTCTCAGCATATATAGATGACTTTTATGATTTGGTCAAGTATTGCATCTCTTAATTAAGAGTGACTGCAGCCTGTAGGCACAAATTGTAATGTATTGGCAAAATTGTATTCTATTGTTTTGTAGATTGTATATAAATTAACATCAAGAAATTTCAAAATTACAGCAAGAAAACTTAGTTGAATTTTGATGTGATTTTCTAACTAATATTTTGATTAAAGAAAGAAAAGTGTTGTTCTTACTTTCAATAAGATTTTAAATTTTGGTAAAACTTATTGAAGAAAATCTTAAGAATTTTCAATAATTATTTTCAACAAATAGTGAGTTTAAGTTAGTATTATATATTTTATTATAAGGTAATTTTTCCTTATCTCTTAAATTCTTTTATTTCTTAAATCTTTCGACTTACATTTCACATGAATCTAAGTGTATGAATCTCTTATTTCTTAAATTTTCTAAGTTGGTTTCATGAACTCTCTTATAGGGTATTTTTCCCTTACCTCTTAAAAATTTGTTGACAACATTGGCCCATCTGTTTTCAAACCATATTACAGTCATCCGAAGCACTTTTCTTAGCCAGTAATTCATGATATAAACAAATAATTTGTTAATTTTCTCCGCTATCCTATTGAGTTTTGAATTGAGCATTCTTGTTTCTTTTCAGATTTTTTTTTTTTTAGTAATTTGCTAGCACACTGAAGAATATATGAAAAAAGATGTTTTAAATTAGACATATGACAACAACAGCCAATCCCTAAAAAACTAAAGCTCAAGTGTCATGTTCTTGTAATGACTCATTTTTACATCTAGCCTAGTATGAGCCCTTGTACTTACCCCTTTTCATTATATTTAGCCCTAAATTATTCTGGTCAGTTAATTAGGGTCCATTTAGTAATGTT